AAAATAGGGGGGAAGTCTCAGTATGGTGTGTCCATACTTTTCAGCAATACTCTTAAGGGCATATACATTTTCAAATGTTTTTGTCTGTAAAACTTCAAGTAGTTGGTTTTTGGTATAGTTATCTTCAAAATACACATTGCTATCCATTAAAACTTTCATCTTTCCTTGAATTTTCATTCGGTACTTTGATGAGCTGTCACGAATGATAGGAAGCGTTTTCAAGAACTATTACACTATTCGCATCCAAANCTGATATCTGCAAAGTCGGCAATAATTTATGTATAAATAGGTTCAATTGATTTGTAATAGCCAGTACTTATATTTCATAGTTATTAGTTGTTACTCTGTTCAAATAAAAAGTTTTTAAAAAACCCTTTTGTGTGAACGAGAAATATAATTTAGTTTGGTTTCGAGATTTAGATTCTTATATACATTGAAACATACTCTCTGTGTGTCAATATTCAAATTCATTCCAATCTTATTCACTGGTATCTCTTTTCTACACAGGAAAAAGTCTGCGTGGTTATCACACTCGTTTTTACTATTAGTACTTGTCCAAGGACGCCACATTTTAAACAGATAAGAAAATTTTTAAGTAATTATAACTGCACCAATAACGAATTTCAATACTCAAATCGCGATCAGTTCCTGAACTGAACATTGACAACACGACTGTTATAACCCTCCTCGCATTCTATTCGTCACCGTAACACAATGTTTCTCAAACTTTTCGAATTCACGCCTCCCTTATGATTTTTGAAGGTTATTGCGACGCCCCGAACGTAAAGACTACACTAGATATTTAATTAATAAAAGTAGGTAGGTGGGTGTCTGAACGGATTGCATTTTGCAATTACCGATATTATCATATTATCAGAGAATTTTTACTAATAGGTACCGACGTATTACTTTTACTCTCAGTTATCTATGTTGTAAAATGTTGTACCTTGAGACTCACCCGTGGCCCACGGCGCCCCAGTAAAGGTTTCACAGTGCCCCAGGGCGCCGCGGCGCACATTTTGAGAAACACTGCCGTAACATGACTTCAAATTTAATTTTATGACTCTTCAGCCAATCATAAAACTCGGTTAGTAAAAATTATCCAATATACAGTGTAAATAAATGAAACAATGGCTATTTCTCAAAGTTGGAGTTTATAAAAATCCTCAATTATATCTTTACTATATTTTCATTTCCATCCCATCCACCTTCTCTAACCCTGAATTGAGAGATAACTTTTTCAAAGGGTCAAAGATTTAAGGGTTGAATCATATCCCAGCGAGGCGGTGGAAAAAACAAGGTTATAATTGAGCCTAAATGGTTTCCTCTTCAAAATATGAAAATTCGACCTTTTTTTTTGTTTTCATGGGCCCACTCTGTAAATAGCGGTCGATAGCAAGTTCAGTTTGAAGTGGCAGTCGATTTTTCACCCGTTTTCTTTTAGCTTTCTCCTTCGAATTATTTTTCCCAGTCCGTCCCTGATCACTTGATCATACTTTATATATTTAGCGGTTTGTGGATTTCCTGAATATTTTTATTTGTTTCGCCTGCTCAGAGTGAATTACAAAGATGACGCGCATGTTGGAAAATGTCCTACAACTATTCTGCCGACGACAATTTCACGCTGGTGATTTCACCGGAAGTGAGGTATTAATTCGAAAGGCATATCCTGTCCATTTTCGGTGGTAAAACTACATGAATAAATATTCTTATAAAACTAATTCCGAAATAAATATCTGACTTTATTATTTCAAATGAACAGATTCATTGACGTCATTCATCTGGTGAATCAGGTCACACATGGCCAGGGAATTTGGCAAAGAGCAAAAATGTTTAACGATTATTTATTTTGTGTTGGGCGTGTTAGCACGTTAGCTCAGGAATCGCCTTGGGCACCTGTTTCTCTCATTCTGAATTGTAATTCAGATAAAAAGGAGTAAATATGTGAAGGTGTTCAATAGTTATTGAATAATGTATTAGCTGTATCGTGCCCGCTGTACGGAATCCTAAATGGCGATAAATTAATTTGTTCCATTTGAATACTTTTTATTTTTGAAAATCTCCTTATTGACTAACCCTTCTGATATTGATGCCCGAATGAAATTCACATATATTATTGAAAATGATCAAGGATCATTTAAATAGTTGAGTGAGACAGGCACGGCGGGGACCCTCTTAAACTAACGGAACCACTTATGACTTTTATTTTATTTCCAGGCCGCCATTTAAAGCCAATTCCGATCTAATTTTGCAATCTATTCCCTTATTTTTTTTCTCTTTATTCAAGTTAGCGAACCCGACCAAAGAATGAAACATTTTATTGGATGAGACTACATCTTTATTTCAAACTCCTATTCCCTTCTGTCGCCATTATACCTGTTTTGATACCTAATAACCACCCAAATTTGTGTCATATTGTTTATGCATTTCATTCTATTTATATGTTAAAGACTATCCCTGACATTTTCTAATTTTACCTGTTTTTTGTCTGGAATTACCATGTATAAGATCAAACGAAGACTATTCATAATTGGACCTTTGTCGCTGTTCATAGAACAGCGGTGGGTAGAGGTTAGTTCACATACATATATACAAACTAACACACCGTAGATTTTAGTTTTAGTAATCTTCTGATGATGCTAACTTGGTTAACGAATCGCGAATCAAGAGACCGTATTTATTGAGAGCATTTGTAAGTTATTCAGTATAATTTCAAAGTTAATTGAATAGATTTGACGACCTCTATTCAGTCAGATGGCGAGTCTGAATACGGTTTGACACTCATTTCATTTTATTCCTAGAATAGTATTCGAAATTCACCTGAAGGACAAAATTAGTTTAATTACACCAAAGTCACCAGTAAAGATTTGAACGAAACGACAATACAATGTTCGTATGAGCTGACAGATATTGAAACCTATTTATAAAAAAAGAATCCAAAAACTATTAAACCGCATCATTAAAATAACTTCATTTCACTGACTGAAACCCAACAATAACACGCTACAGTGTGAATTTGAAAGAAATAAATTTAAATTGTTTTTTCATATCTGAAGATAGCATTGGTAGAATATTGGGATTTTCGAAACGTAAAATCATACCCAATCAAGTAAATTAGTCGGATTCACCTGTTAACATTGTCAATGTTTGTAAATGGGATTTCCTGGAATTACCGCTGCTATATCAACTGGGGAAATCAAGGAAAATTGGACTGTAAAAACCAGCACTGCTTCAGAGTCAGATATTTGTTATCCTTACAGTTCAAAGTGGTATTAGAGACAATATCAGAAAAGATGCCAGCACATTCGATAATATCAATGTCTCAGATATATGATATATGAAAATTTTAGTGAAATAAGACAAACACCATTACTAGATTATATAGGTTTGAAAAATCATTCTCTCTCCCGTCATTGACTATTTGAGAAGAAATACTAATTTGAAAACAATTACTATGAAATCCGGTAGGTGCTAAGGCTCATTGCATCATTATTAATGATGGTATTATGAAACAACTGCCACTTAGCGAAGAATATTCTTTATATTCAAGGAATTTATTCACTAAGTGAAGCTGAGGAATAGTGCCTTTATCCAAAAGAAATTTCGATGGACGTCAGACAAATCATAATATTTTATTGAGAATGAAACACAAGTACTACAGGAAAAACTTCAAAGCGTTCTAAGAGCGGTGCCTGTGCGAAAGTAGCGATTCACGTTGGATTTGAATCACTGAAGATTGAATTCATTTGGAAAAACGTCCTCAGAAAGTGTTTTCCAGATAAACGCAGTTCTCCAAATGAAAGAGTTTTCGAACAGTGACGTTCGAGGTGTACTGAATTGGACCTCAAAACGATGAGCAGCCACAGTCCGTCACGTATATTTCTGATATGTAGCGCTCTTGGTGGAATCAAATGTGCCAAGTCCCTTGAACACTTCCCGTAAAAGTATCTATAGAAGACAGACAAATCTCTAACTTTGATGTTCCAGACTATCAAGGTTGCAAGTGGTATTCGCGTCTACCAAGTAGCATTTAAAAAATTATCATGCCCTATGGTGGGATATGCCAATATTAAATTGAGAGAAACTTTCGTGTTTGAATAATTTCTAAACTAAGATTCTATCGCAGTCAAGAAAACGTGCTTCTGATGTATGTGTAGATTGAACCTGAACGCTTCCAGCCTTACCATTGATGATATTGAAAGTCTGTTAAATAAAATAAACATTTGACGGATATAAGAATACGAAAAATGAGAATTCAAGAATATGAGACCGAAATCGATATCAATAAAAAATCATTGATTCGAAACAATTATCTAAATGGGTTGAGTGTGTTTTCTAGCTGCAAGGACCTTTAAATTCTGTAAACAGACTGAAGTGAGAAAAATATATGAACGTTTGCTTTCCAAGAAAATAATAAGGATCCTCATTGACCGGTTTATGATTCACACAACAAAAATGTTTTAAGATTATTGCGGTCAGCTGATCAACACTGACTCACTGAATTCATGTTTTTCAGTTCTATCCCATAACAAAATATTTAGTGGGTTTATGAATCGTCAACTGCATTTATCAGAAATGGTTCAAATATTTGTTTATTCATTCATTCCGGTAATGAAATGTATTAGAAACCGAACAAATTGATGGTGCTAGTGCACATTCTGCGTTCATTGAGAGAGAGTGAGTTTCGATTACAACCGGATAAGAACAGATATATGAGTGGAATGTGCTTGAGTTTCATCAAGATGGCCTGGAAAAAAGTGAGAATTTTCACGTAAAATCTCTTGTGAAGTTACGAACGGAAGCGAGTGGTCTTTGGTGGGGGTTAAGTGTCCTTCCCTGAAAAATTATAAGCCTACATATCATCGTCGCAATTCATTAGTTTCTTAAAAGAGTCAAGCTTGTTGAAATTCATCTATATCACAACTCATACTGCTTGAAATTATTTTACAATTTTTTTTATAATAAAACATCCTGAAATAATTAACATCAACAACACTTTTTAGGCATGGTGAAATACCTGTAATCGTACATGTTTTGTATAATTTTTCTATTTGATTGTCAAAACGGGTTTTCATTTTCTTTTAGGAAACCCCTTAATTTCAGGCTATACCCTAAAAAGGAAACAAGAATCTTCCAAATAACTATAGATTGGTCATTCCGTGTTAGGAATCACACGTTAAAAGGTAAGAACTCGTTATTCCTTAGCTCGTTAGATTGTTTATGTTGAATAATTCTATGAGTCCGTGATAGCATATATCTACCTATTATGTGGTAGCCACTATATGGAAAATACTGAGCCATAAATTCAATTAAATTGGATACTTTTTTTACAATGCAAATTTTAGGATATCTGTGAAATTCTTATAGAAATTGATACAATTGTCTTTTTAAGTATTTAATAGATACACTTTGTCTTTTACACTAAGTGATTTGGACGAATCGTTTAATAGTTATCACGATAAGATTAACTTGACGCAATGCAGTAAGCCATTACTCGTCGCGTCTACTGTAAGATGGCGGGGGACGATGCGCTAGACACTCAACAGTTTCTTGGAAAATTACATCAATCAATTTAAAACTAAAATATTGTTAACTCTGATGTTACTTTGTTTCCAAATGTTCCTGTAGAAAAATCGCTGAATAATACATAATAATATATTGATTACTATAGGGTCTACCTATCTTTAAATTTGTATAAAAAAAAGTATCTGTGAGATATCTTCGAAATTTTCCATTCTTTTGGGGGACCTATTGAGGCCTTTATGTGTGGAATATAATATCTTTCAAATATCCGCCACGGCTTCCCTGGGTGGAGTGCATCCGAAAAATCCAATTTTTCATGATTCTGGCGCTGTGGACCGTTGTGATTTGTGGCGTATCTGCATACACCTGCGACTTGAGAAAACCCCACAAGAAAAACTCTAACGGCAATGAGGCATGAGCTGTGTGGCACGTAGCGCTGTCTTGTTGAAATCATATGTGTCCTGATCATTCAATTCAAGTCAAAAAAAGTTGATGATCATCGACCTCTGGTGCTGGCCGTTGAAAGTGATGGCCTGGCCAATGTCGTTCTTGAATAAAATATAGACCGATGACGCCGCCAACCCAAAATCCACATCAATAAGTGACTTTTTTGGAATGCATTGGACGCTCATGGAACTCATGGGGATTGGTATCGTCCCAAATTCGACAATTTTGTTTGTTCACGTGCCCATCCATATTAATATGGATGATGAAGATGATTTTTCAATCAAAATTAGGGTCAGTTGCCAACTGCTCCAGAGGCAACTCAGCGAACACACATCGTTGTCTATGGTCGTTTATCTTCAGTTCCTGGGTCAGCTGAATTTTGTACGGGTACAGACCCGAGTCATGACACAAAATTCGCCAAGTTGTGGTCTGCGAAAGGCCGAGTTCTTGTGAGCGATGCGAAATAGACTACTTTGAACTCTTCTGCACACTCTCACAGACAGTGGCGATATTTTCGACAGATCTTGTCTTTCGTCGACGTACGGTAGTTGGTTGATCGTTAACTGAACCAGTGGACTCAAATTTATCCACCACATTGCGAATAGTTTTCTAGGTAGAACGATTATCGAGACCATAAAATGGGAGAAGCGCGCGGTACGTTGCCCCAACAGAACACCCATTCTAATAAGACTATTTTATTATTCGGACGTGTTGTTGGATGCTATATCCATCTATGGTGATTTGGCAAAACAGACTGAATAAATGACAACTAGTTTGACAGATGTAGATTCAACAAGATGGCCATTATCAGTTGTGAAAGTTGGGAACGTCCATGTTTTTTTCATCCAAATGGAAGAATACAGAGTATTTATTCCTTTTGAAAACGTTGCATTAGTACCTTATATATTGCCTAAAAAACTCTAGATATGGCCATAATGATCCCAACTAACTATTCCCAAAAAATGCCACCCAATTGTTGTAGATGTGCAGGTAATAATTTAACAAAAAATAGTCTGTCAAAAGAGTTTTTGGATTAATTTGACAATACCGCAAGGAAAATTCAAAAATAAACAATTATCAAAAAGTTTAAAAAATATGTAAACAAATGGCGTGCTTTTATGCTGGGTACTTCAGTAGAAAAAATTAAGTTTGGATAGCTACCCTCAACTGAATCACTCAGTATGTAAGAACATTATTCAGAAAATAGTCTTGGTCGATATCTATAAAAAAATTGAAGAGTTCGAAAAATTGTTTCATCGAGAGCTGTAAACCGAGGGAATCTTGTTGACTTACCCTATATATGATGGGCATTTTTATAAATGAATTTTTGTATCTAGATTTGTGAAGAACTAAACGTATTATTATCTGATTGCCAGTCAGATTGTGTTGATAGAAATATCCATTCGCAGCCAGGTTTAATGAATGGACATTCGTCTTTCATAAGAAAATAATTTCCAGCTACAACAGAACACCAAGAAAATGTCATCTTTAGTTTGTCGGTGTAGCATAAGAAAATATTTGACGATTCATCTCCAAAAATGAATATTTGAGAATCGTTATTTTCTTATTTTTCGTGGTAAAGAAAGGTTTTGGCTTTCTACTTCTCCAACTTGACACAAAAAAATGTAGGAATCTTCCAAAGAAAAGAAGTTAGCAATCGATTTCAAGAAAGTAAGTTTCAGACACAAACTGGCCCTCTTGAAGCAGCTACTTTCTTATTAACATTGAATTACACGAGAGAAAAAACTTTCAAAACAAATACTTTTATATGAACACTGAATTATACAAAAAACACTTTTTTCTGTTCAGTTTGTATTCATAACATTCGTTATGGAAATGAATCAGTTATCATTCACAGGTTTCCTACACAATATAGTAAATGAAAAAAGTACAATTTCACTCACATGGAACACTGTCATCCTCATTGTTTGAGAATTCTGAATTGCATCCTCGTGTTCTGGTGATGAATTCCCATCAGAGTTATCCGTAAAATGAACTCAAGAAGAGTTCATAAAAATGGATACGCGTTAACTATTCAGACAATATTTTTTTCGTTTACTATGAATACATCATATAAATGGTTATGTTCAATAGTAAAGCTCGAATTTTGTTACAGACTCTTGACTACGATCGAGATGGGCTAACAAAAATGAAAAAGGCAGTGAAGGCCATACATACATCTGGAAATTGTAAGTATTTTGACTTTTCTGGGAAAAACTTATCTAGTTTTCTGTTTCTCGACAATGAAGACAAATATAGAAACATCGATTAAACTGGGGAAATATCCAATCTGAAACTTTTTTTATGAAAAATATATTTATTCTTAAAATACTTCCTTTCAATTCAAATAAATACTTTCTCTTGAGATTATAGTAACTATGATAATTGTATAAATTTTTACGAACTGTCATTGTAATAAGCGACGTTCACTCCAAACTTTTGACTGTTGTAGCCATAACTTATTGCCTAATTGAGGATAATTAGTGATGTCTTTATTTTATTTACCATTGAAGTCTTTTTTGCTATTCAATATTTGGACCATAAGCAATCCCAGTTTCATTGGTATGTTATAGTCTATAAGCTAGCAACGTTTTCGAGAGAGAATTTCAGGTGGGTCAGTTTTCAGATATGCTATCTCTCTCGCTCTCCCAGACGTCATACGGGCTATCTGGCTGGAGGTAGTGGTTGCGTTCATCAGTGTGTGCATCGTACCTGTTACAGGTAAAATATCAATTTTTCAAATCATTTTAAGAAGGTTCCTTTTTTATTATTTCAATCGATCTTTTTTTTCAAAATATTTTAGTATGGCTGAACTTTTTACATGATGTTATTTGATTATCTAAAAATCCAAAAGTGATTGGACATGTTGGAAGAGTACAGACAGTCCCGCACTAGTTGCGCATGCGAGATATATGACAGCAGCTGTTTGTAGTCAAGATGGCGTCAGTTTAGTAACATAGTTGTATTCGTTGCTATCATTTTTAATGAATATTACTGGTGTAAAAATAACGATTTGGTGTTGGGAAAGAACTCCAGTAATATTCATTACTACACCAAAGGTTTTCAATGTCTTTAACAAATTTATTGTACAATAACCAGTGATAAAGTAAACGATAATGGAAAAATAATAACTTTTGTAGAAGACAAATTAAAAAAGTTTAAAGAATTTTTCCAAACTTACTCATCTATACATCGCTCTGAAATTAGTCCACCTGACATTCGGAAATCATCGTTATGCACAGGTGTAGCCTTCGATAACTTTGATAGATACGTTGATACTCTTGATGGAAAAGACACTTTGCATGACACCGTAGGGATAATATATCAAAATATTGATAATGATGATACTAATGAGAGTGATATCGCTTCTAGAAGTGATCAGTCCAACATGTTACCACCACCAGCAAAAATAAAAAGACGAACCTTGAAGCCATTGTTCCTGAACTTGTTCCGATCTCTACCCGATTGCAAATGTTGAAACGAATAACACCTGTTGAGTACATAGAGCAACTACTTATTTTTCTGATTGATTCAGCCGTTACTTGATGTAGATCCATAGTAATTTCAAAAACTACACCTCACGATTTGATCTCCACAAACTTCACTTGAAAAATATATCCCATGTTTCGCTAGCACAGTACCTTGATAAGGCTACTGTGCAAAAACTGTGCAACATGTTTCGCCAGCATATATAGCATATTGTGATATATTTTTCAAATAAAGTTTGTGAAGATCAAATCGTGAAATTATTGATTTATTATAAATAGCTTGACTCTTTTTCCATGTACTAAACACTCCAATGTGGACAGGATTCAGTTGTAGAATTATAAAGGATAATACTTCAAAACAAAAAGTATCCTACCTAACTCCAATCATTTTGTCATCGACAGAGACATCAGTAGTGAAATTGACAATGACACAGTCTCAAGTGGTGTGGAATATGACCAAAAATATGTCCAAGTAACATATGATTTGGCCATTGCTAAAATAGCCTTCAAAATTCAGGCAACAGAAACCCCAAAATTTGATAATCTCTTCGTACATCTTGGTTCATTTCATTTAATGATGGCATTTTTAAAGCGACTAGAGTATTTATCGATGAGTGTGGATTAGCACGTATGATGGTTGAAAGTAAGATTATAGCATCAGGTCCGGTGAAAATCATTGGTTTGCAAATATTACATTTTGATCAATACTTGAAAATAGAACAAGTCGAACACAATTTTTTAAAAAAGCAATTCTGATGATCTTTCACAATATCAAAATCTTGAATTTTCCATTCAACTACAACTACAAATTCGATAGCTGCACGTCAACGCTGGACAAAAAGCCACAGTATTAAAGCTGCTTTTATCTCCCATATTATCGATGTTTGTGGATTAAGATACTTGCAAGACGTTATCGCAGACTTGCAACCTAATCGGATTATAATTTTTGAGAAATATCTTGCCGATTTTGTCGATATTTTTGAATCCGTTCGATCCATATTCAAACAAAGATAATCATATAGCTGAATTCCTACTGACCATCAATGAAAATGGTGATGATTTAAGGACGCAGTCCATTACTGAATGTGCTATAGATGGAAGTAAACTTGACAAACCAATTAAAAAAACGAATAATCAACTTCGCTGAGGCTCCAAAAAAAATACCTCTCGGAAATAAAGTTGTCAAGCTGAAAATGCAAAGGGATTTGTTTGGCAGAATGTTGGGAATATCCTCAACTCATAGGGTTGATATTGAGAAAGTATTGACATTTTCACTGACACCAGTGCCAACATAAATGTGCCACGTATTTGTAAAACGGATAAATCTCAATTAGTTAAATTGATTGAGAAAAAAATCGGTGATAACGTCGATAAGCCACCTTTGTGTTTAAATATAGCTATTTTAGATGGTTTCTTCATGTTACACCTGATGAAAGAAGTAACTATAACCTTCGATGCTATATCTAAAAAATTTCAGAGTATGATACTACGATTTAAATCTAGTCGTGTCGATATTGTCTTCGATCAATATTTTACATCGTCAATCAAAGATTTTGAGTGTTCGCGTCGGGATGAATTAATCAGCGAAGTTACAATCGGGCCCAATCAAATTCGACCACATAATTCTGTAGCTGAACTAGAAAAATATATATTTCAAAGAAGCCCTTAGTAATTTTTTTATTGACCATTGGGCTGATGATAAAATATCTCATTTCATTGGTAATAAAATTATCTATTTGAACTTCAACAAGTGCTATTCATACAGGGTTGGGAGAGTAATGAAGTTATTAAAACTTTTGAAGGTTCACTATCTTGTGAAGAACACGAATAAGCCGATTCTAGAGTAATATATCACATTTGCCAAATAAATGTCGATGCCGAAGTTGTGATACGCTGCTCAGATACAGATATTTCAATACAATTTCTTGGTAACAGGGATCGTTTGAATGCACCACTAAAACTCTGGATGGATTTGGGTGTGGGGAATAATGATTCATAAGCATCAGTCGAGTATACGAAATTCTTGGAAACGCTTTATCGAAAGCTCTACCGTGCTTTCACGCAGTCACAGGATGCAACTACACACCAGCTTTTTTCCGGAAAGGTGAACTTCCGCTTTTCAAACTGTTAGAGCAATCAGAACAGTATCAGTCAGCCTGTCAAAATTTAACAGATAATGAAGAATTGCTGGATGGGACATTTGAAATCTTAGAAAAATTGATTTGTCATTTTTACGGAGCACTACGAGTTCGTTACGTCACAAAATTTTGGAGTAGTGCTCATTTAAAACACCCAACATCTCTATCACCTCAAATTTCTGGCTGAACCATAAACGATAATAAATATGATTTTATCTGGTTTATTTGCCGCAAGATTATAAAATGTTTCATTCTATTACAGATAATAACTTATTACAAAACGATAACACCTCAAAAGACGATGATGACAATGAAAATGACAGCAGTGATGAAGATGATGATGATGATTATCAAGATGCCTTCGTTTTTTGTGATAAAAGTTATGGATTAAAAAATCATGAAAACATGCGAATTATTGTTTATTTTCATACTTGAGGTTCATTATTATCCTAATTTTTATAACAATATACTATTATTTTGATACCGTATTAATCCACTAAATTATTCAATGGTTTTTAGTCCTTTCTCTTAAATTTATTTGACAACTCATTCTAAACTAAGCAACATGATACCACATAACCTTTCACTTTCAGATCTGTCTGGTTAAGGTTTAACAATTGAATTAATGTTAGGCGAATTGATTTTGGGTTTTTAGATACCCAAATAACAGAATGTAAAAATTTCAGCCATACTAAAATGTTTTGAAAAACATTTTTTTTTCAATTCAAAATTAGCGTCTGGTACAGTTTAGAAAACAACAAAAATATCTGGCAATAATAAATTCATGTGTCAAAAAGTTCAATTAAAACAATAATAATAAAAAAAGGAATCTTCTTGAAATGATTTGAATAATCGACATTTTACCTGTACAGGTACGATGCGCACTGATGAACGCAACCTCTAACGTATAACGTCCGGAAGAGTGAGAGAGATATTATTATATCTAAAAAATGGCCTACCTTGAATTCCCGTTTTTTCGACGTACCATTATACACATTTTCCTGCGAACTAGTTTGGTAATTTATCATATTCCCAGTTTTTTGTCCTCGGCTTGACTTGCAATTTTCAGGAATTTCAAAACTTTCCTACATTATGACTTTTCAAGTTTTAAATCATCTAAAGGAACAATTTGTTCCTTCTAGTTTTACAGCTATCCAAATTTGTTTTTCAAAGAATTTCTTTAGCAATGATTATAAGTCAAATATCAATACTTATTATGAAAGTGTAATTGATCACTGCATGTACAACACAGGCTGTACACAGAACAATTATTTATAGAATTTTGTCTGTATGTGTATGTGTGTATTTGTATGAACCAGACAAATCCAAAGGTCCGGTACCAGACTAAATACACGCCATTTTCATTAAATCGTAGTAAAACACTCTAAAACACTCTAATTCAACCTCTATTCATTCTTTTTAATAAATGTCTAACCTGTGGAGTTTCTCAAGAGGTAGAAAATTGTCAGAGTTTTTCCATTTTTCAAATCAGCGGAGAAGTATGTAGTAGACAGCTACAAAACTGTCTCTTTGCTGAATCAGTTTGGTAAAGTCATATGTGAAGAATTATTTTTTATGGCAGAGAATAGAATCACAATTCACCAACATGGGTTCTTCGAGAAAAAAGAGATCAGTATCAACTAACATGATCCCATATGTTCAAAACATGTATGAGAACATGGAGAGAGGAGTTCCGACGTGTGCGCTGTATTTTGATTTTTCGAAGGTTTTCGAGAAAGTTCATCGCCCGACTATGTTTGTGAATCTGAGAAACTTTGGAGTACGGGGCAGTTTGCGGGCCTTGAATAGTTGCAAATTCAATATCTCTGTGCCTAAGGATTCATATTTCGGTCCATTACTATTAATAGGGGAGCCCAAGCGGGGATTTCGGGATTTACTAAAGCGCGGCAGATTAATATACAGGGGGATACCTTGTACCCGGTTAAGTACTTCCTACAACCACCCATATCATGCAAACAATCAGATTAACATACCAACATTATTAAAAATACGTAGGACATTGATGCTATCAATATCTGACGCGCTCGATTATGTCTGTGCAACAGTATTTTTTTACATATTTAAACATCTATAGCCGCTTCCCCCACCGATGAAAAGGTATATATTATATAACATATTTTTCTTCTCATCATCTAAGCTTTGCAACCTAATATGACGCTCGAGTAAATCCACATTTTGCATCGTGGGCTTCCCTGCTATATTCAGTATTTTTTTCAGTGACGTAGAAAGATGCTTCGATATTTCCAATATACTAACATATTGAATATGTACGAAAAAAAAACTTATAACCACAATCAATTTTGAATTCTCCAGACATCGATACAATTTCTCTTACAAAAGTAATCTGATTTATTACATGATGTAAGGACTATGAATACGCAGAGACTGGCATCTTATTTGTATATAAATTATTGAACGATTTGACTCCAACTATTGTCTCAGTTACTTCCTCTGCAACTGAGGATTATATAATACTCGGCCCAGACAACTATTCTTCGTCGCTTATTTCTCAAACAAATATTGGTCAACCCACCTCTCATAATATCATCAGTGGTTTGTAATACGATATGTGTGTCTGTTGACGTCTTGTACTCAGGACACAAGCTTCCAAGAAGATTTCGAAAAGTCAGCTTGCATTACTTAATTCATAGCTAGTTTCATTACCTTTATACAGTTTGGACTTGATAATTTATCAAGAGTTCTCTATTGTAAATCAAAAATTGTCAATCTTTATGTTTAATTGTTACCACCCTGTTATTGGATCTGTATCTGCTGCATGGTCATATTTGAAAATAAATAAACCAATATGTACTATATTGTAGAAGTTTCACTCAATATTAAATGTTGGATTCATTTCAATCGGTTTATGAATGATAAAAGTTATACCAATTTGTTGGAAACTTGTTTGTGTTTTGTGAGTCGATTCTCTTATGGATCATAGATAGGCAAATATATAAAGTTAGTGAAGTTAACCAGCTATCGCCCCCCCCCCCTATGAACGACAACCCTCAGAAGTCGAAACCTGTGCGAGCTAAGGTCTAACGAGGTTTTACCTTTTAACGTGTGATTCCTAATACGGGTTGGAAGGTAGCAAGTAAAAATCGAGCGTTCAACCTGCGGCTTGAACCATCGATTCACACATCGGCCGATTGACTGAGGGAACAAAGCACCCACGTCAAACCGCCCGGCTACCCACCATTAAACATGTTTCTCCATAGAACAGTTTCGTGTGTCCACGAACCACAACGTTTGACCACGTTTCACCGCCAATTTATTAACCGTTTCATTTTTAGAAAACCAGGAAAGAGGATTTATGTTGGGCTAACTTCACACTTTGCAAAAATTTCAAAGCGTTCTGTTAATAACGCCTTCGTTACTACATCGTTAGTCAATGTTTCCCCATAGAACAAATTGTCCACGCACCAAAAAAAATCAAAAATTAAAATTTCCAATTTTTTTATCACATTTCTGAGATGTTTCATTTGATTCTACATCATTTTACCACGTTTATCCATAGAACAGATTGTCCACGAACAAAACAAATATTAAAAAATGGAAATTCACAATTTTTTTACATTCATGAAAATTTTCATTTTACTCTACATCATTTTACCACGTTTCTCCATAGAACGAGATAGTCCATGAACGAGAAAAATATTTAAAAAAAATGAAAATTTTATATTTTTTTCAACTTTTTGAGAATTTTCATTTGATTCCACATCGTTTGACCACGTTTCTCTACCAAATCATTTACCGTTTTATTTTCGGACGACCGAGGAAGAGGCACTTACGTTGGGCTGACTTCACACATTACTAAAATTTGAAACCGTTCTGTAAATGTTTACTCGACAAGATGCATTCGATTCTTCATCGTTAGTACAGTTTTTTGATGGAAAAGCGAGTAAAAAAATTCCGTGCACTAACGTGGTCATTTGATGGACAATCCTTTGACATGTTATTTCAATTTTCTCATTTTTTCGGGTTATCTATAAATATCCACAAATACATGAGATGATTTTGCTGTGAGAAAAATTGAACTGCACGCGAAGGAAGTCGCGGGTAGCAGTTGGAATGAAGAAGGAGAATTGTCAATGCAATATCGAAGTAGTATTATATAAAAGTTTGTTTGCACCGCGCAAGGGCGCATTTATGGGGGGATAATGGAAATTATCCCCTCTCTGATATCAACATTCAATACCGAAACGAAGGGTAGAACTAGAACCTCAGTAGTTGATTTATACCGATCCCAAGACCTCCCCCCAGCACTCGATCTTGACCTTGAATGACGTCACACGACCTTGAGCTATGTGCACGTCATATTACCTTGAACATGAAGTTTGACCTTGAGATTAGAATTTGTCCTCGACATTCAGTCAGAGTGGGGAGAAGAATGCTTTTCATAAGAAATTTGGTTCATCAAAGCGTTCAGTCCTCAATAGGAGCCAGCGGTGGGAGGATGCACGATGATCCCCTGCAGGTCATTTCAAGATCGAGACATTCTGTCATTCACTCAGCGGTTGACATTTTACACTTGCTCGCTGAGCAGACGGTTACCGTGATTAGTTCATATAGAACGAGAATCCAGTGGTGCAGAGATGAATTGCAGTACTGCTTTCGACACATTGACAACAAAGTGTGCGGTGTACTTGATTCGTAGATCATGCTTCATAGTTGTGAAAGTTGTCGACAGCGGTTTCACTCGTGTACACTTGTGTATATCCATTTTTTTGCACTCATGGTCAGTGGTACATGAATATCTGTGTACCGAAGTTCAAATTTTTTTTCTTATAGGTTATTCCATGTATGGAATCCTTCTTAGGGTGGCTCCTTCACACACATACCGTTCAATATTTTTGAAGATTATAACAAGGTCTTTTTTAAATATAGAATGTGTGTACCAGGCGACCCCTGAAAGTTATTTCAATACCATTGTGATGTTATAATGGTGGAATCCAATTGTCTAGAACTTGTGAATGACCTTGCATGCAAGGCGGGGAGAGCGTGTTTGGCAGGTGCAGTGAGTTGAAAACTCGGAAATTTGAACCTAAAAAAATAGGAGGTATATAGTGAAGCGATGCAATACATAATCGGTTTGAGAATGTTCTCATTACACCCTTCACCACTCGTGACGTCACATGATCTTGAGTCGTACGACACATGATCTTGAGTCGTACGACACATGGCCTTGAGCAAGACCTGGAACGTCCTGTTCGCAGCTTGATCTTGATGATTGACCTTGAACATCATGTCGTCACATGTAGTGACCTTGTGCAGTTTGACCTTGAACGGCGTATTATGATAGACAGTAGGGCAGTAGCCCTACGATAAAACTCAAGAATCCCCCACACCAACACGATTTTGAAGTAAGTGTATGACATCCCACCATTACTCATAATATCATATAAACTTGAGACGCGTAGCTTCTTTTCTTATGCTCGAAGTTCGGCGGTTACGCATTCAGCTTGTATAGCTCATCAAAATTATACTCTCATACACGGCTTGTTGTGGTGATGAAATTTGAGCAACTGTCACTATCAGTTAGGGAATTGACAGCCTCCATTAATTTTTGTTGCTTTCAAAAAATGAACCTTTCTATCTATCAGAGGTAAAAAAATTAACGACACCCCTAAGACAT